CGGGAATATGTGAAAAAGGTATTTTTCTAGCTTCTCAAATATATATATCTCTCTCTCTCCTAGCTTTGTGCATACTTGCATATGGAATAGGGTATGAAGTATTTCCTAGATGGAAATCACAATGCAACTCGATGCATTCATCTACGCTCTTACGCCCGTTTCATTTGCATCAGAATGCATCCCCGGATCCTCTCGCATGTGCGACGGGGATCAGCGATCTCCTTTAATTTCACCACCGTGCTCGAAAACGATAATCGAGTTCCGATCGCATCTCCGATTACAATTTCGTCGAGTATTGCCGACTCGAGTTACGCTATCTTCGAGGTAACCGAGTCCTCGAGCAGTCGACGGTCGTCCTTAATCGTTCGATTGGATCTAATTCGCGTTCATGACTATCTGTGTCGCCGTCTTCGTTGCCGGTTCAAGGCCGTCGCACATCGAGGCGCGTCTGATTTGCCTCTTTGCGCGCGGCGTATCCTTTGACTTTGGGCGAAGCGAAGCCGGGTAACCGTGCGGTTTTCGACTCGCAGCCACGATATACTGCGAGGATCCTCCCGATTTTATCGGAGCCCCGCCGAAACTTTCGGCGGAGGGTACTCAGGTGTCCGCCATCTGCCGCCCTACGGCGAATTTAGCACCTTATGCACTCGTGCTCGCCATCGGGACAAGTTCGCTCGGCCTACATTGTTCCCCTTTATAGTAATCGGGAGAAAGATGATTCTATAAATATAACAATGTACATATATATGTGTCTTAGCCGTTGCCTGGTACGAGATCAGAGCTGTGGGTGAGATCTTAAATGAGATGTAACCTGACAACTCGATGCGTAATTTAATGATTCAGACACAATCGTATATAGATCATTGGAGCGTTGAGCGTTAAGCTCTATGCGACGGGACTGACGAAATAGGCGTAATCGTCGGTAAATTAGTAAAATATAACATTATTGCCTATATGTGCGTTTATACATTCTTTATACCAGCGAGAAATGATTCGTTGATCAAATCGACATCGACACCGTCAAATTGACTCGTCGACTCGACGTCGTTTCGACATCGATCGACGAGTCTTTTTCTCACTGGGACAGTCCTTTCTTATTTGGGGTAATAAGTGGCTCAAGTAGCAGACAAATATCTCAGGCATTTTTCTCGATCTAGAAAACTTGGAGCTACTCGCACATTATCGGTCGCCCGGAACACGCGACCGGGTAAAGAATAATTTCAGGTTTCCGATAGCGATCGTCCGTTAATTTGCCGCAATAGAGAACAATTTGCGGCTCGACCTTTTTCTCTCTCGCGCGCGCGCGCGCGTGCTGCTGCAGCTGCGAGTGTCACGAAAGCGCGCGAGGTGCCTGATCTCGTCTCTGTGCCGTCCTGGAAAAACTCAAAAGAGTCCGCTCGCAGCACGCGCGAAACCGCCGTCGTAGGGCCAGACGGAATTCTAAATCTGCCTCGAGCGACGTGTCAAAGCGGCCTACATTTCCGGAAGCGACGGCGGCGGATGATGTAACCGTGAAGGAGAAGCGAAGCAGGTGCAGGTGCGCGCTAACAACGCGAACGAATAGCATGTGCAGTGAAGATGAACGAGCTCGTTAGTCCTGGTCCTCCTGGACTTGTGAACGTTGTTAAATCTAAGACTGATAATGAAAAGAAGAATTTCTTTCGCGGAAGATTTTTTAGAGTTCTCTGCGAGTTCCCCGAGAGTTCTCATGCACAGGGAACTCGCGGGGGAACTCGCAAAATTCGCAGAGAACTCTCTCTGCGAGTTCTGAGGTTTTTCTGAGAGTTCTCTGAGAGTTCTTACATATATATTTTTTTTGGTGTTTATTATGTACACGGAGAGAATTTTCTCTTAAAATTTATCCTCAAAATCATGTAATCGTGGGACAACATGACATTTCGAAGAATTTTATGAGTTTTTTAAATTTTACCACACGTTTTACTGCACTGAAAAAAAAGTCTAATAGATTCAACCAGTCGTCTGTTAGAAAATGGACGAATCAGAATTCCTTTAGGATTTACCAAAATTCCTTCAGGATTTACCATGAAAGATAGTTCATAACCAGAAGTTACGAAAGTTATGAAGTAGACTTCACTACAAATCTGGTAAATCCTAAAGGGAATTCTGATTCGTCCATTTTCTAACAGACGACTGGTTGAATCTATCAGATTTTTTTTCAGTGTGGCAATTATACTTGTCAGTATACGTTTCGCTAGAAAAATGTATGGTAAAATTTCAAAGAACTCTCACACAGTTCTGCAAAATGTCACGTCCCACGATCGCGCGATTTTCAGGATAGATTTTACGAAAAGATTCTCTCCGTGTATTTTACGCTGGAAACGACTGTCTCTTTGAAAACTTGTATTAATTTTTCCGTAATTTACTACGCAAATGGAGAGAATAATTATTTGAGAATTAACAGGAACGCGATATCACTTTAACTGCACTCGTGACGACGAATATCTTCTCAGGTGCTCGCCATGAACATTCTAGTGTGCTCGTGTAGTACGAGAGCTGGGTTACTAGTAAATCTTATCGTGCTATAATACCCGGCGTCTCGCTTAATGTGCGCACACGGCCCGGCTGGTGTACAGCAACGAAAATACCAGCGGAAATGCCGGGACGCTGAATAATTAAAGCGGGAAACATATCAGCGCCTAAGAGAGGCACGCGCCGTTCATCCGGCTGTTAAGCAAAGACTTTCGGCGGCTGTATATTTAGCGCGACATCGATTCTTCCTGAAGAGGGACGCCCTCCTCGACGGCCGCGTCTATTATTCAAGCAGCACATCGCAGAAAACTGTCTCTCTGAAGCAAATTTTAAAAGAAGGAAAAACCTCGCCGATTCGTTCGCGCCTCAAATGAAGAGATAATGTCTCATTATTCACAAGACAGCGTCAAGCGGGAGAGTTTTTCATTGTATTCGCGAGAACCGGGTTTGTGTGATATTGATAAACTAACCTTCTGTCGCTGGCACCTGAGAGATCTGACCTCACAAAATCTCACTGCATGTTTAAACAAAAATACCACCATTTTCGATCTTTCCTGACTACCTTTAGAAAATGTAGACTATCTTGTGGATCTATCTTATTATTCTGAGTTACTTTTTTTAGAATTATTAAAAAAATACTTATCTTAAAGAATTGTTTACGAAAAATAGTTTGATCAATAAGTTAGTTAAATTTGGAAGAAGACATCTATTTAAACAACGACGAATATTCACTTAAACAACGGGATATTGTTCTTATTGCTGATGTAAATCATTTCAAATTAGCGTGAAGTTATGGTGCAGACATCTGACAAGATTGTGCGAAATGTTGTTTTCAGACGGAAACTGTATCAACATCTGTTGATAAAACAGAAGGTAACACGTGGTATATCTGGTAAAATAGCAGCCAAAGGGCCCGGGTAAAGTCGTGACCACCACATACTTTGCTCCTTACCGACAGACTGTGCCCTTATAGGTGCGAGTCTGGACTGGATATATCCGATTTTATCGACAAAGTTTACCTTTTGGTGCGAGTTCGGACTAAATATTGGCAATTCTGTCGATAAAATCGCAAATATTTAGTCCAGACTCGCACCTAAGGGCACAGTCTGTCGGTAAAGGGCAAAGTGTGCGGTGGACTCGACTTGACCCGGACCTTTGGCGATCTGTCTACTAATTTCTGTGATGCCCATTCTACACCTAGGGATGATCCTACTTGTGGCTCAT